GGGGGGGGGGGGGGGGGGGGGGGGGGGCTACTTGGGTATGAATTTGGTGGGTATGTGCCGCCCGGGTTTCCAAATTTGGACCCCCTTTTAATAGAATTTGCATTCAAAATGATATCCCGTATTAGAAATAGCTGACTATTGACAGCAGTCCCTTCCATGTATAAGATTTGGAGAAAAATGGCGACCGCGGAAGGTCAAACGAAATGTGCAAACACGCAACACCCACCTAAACAAACGCCATAACTTAAGACAAACCAAACCTAGAAGACTCAAACTCATAAAACAGACCAAAACTCAGAAGGCTCTCATACATCTACATATCGGTTCTAAGGTATTCAATATCAACACAACAGTAAGGCAAAAGAAAATTAAATAAAGGGGAACTAAGAAAACAATACCATGACTACGAACTGAGGATGATATATAGGCAGCCATACCTTGGGGGAACAAACAGGAACAATGAAATAATAAAACACAAAACAAAAGGGCAAGTCTTTCGCTCATTTTCTCTGTCGCTCGTTCTCTTGCATTTTGTTGGTTCGATCGCTCCTTCATTTCATAGTTCGTATATTCGTTCGTTTTCGGGCGTTCATTAAGTTCATCGGCGACTAGGTGGCGATGGTAGACTCGATTACATTCAAAGACCTAAATCGTTGCTGTCCCGTACTGGTGCAGAGTGTAGCTCAGATACCAGTATCTGGTACCAGCGTCTGGCCAACAGTTTTATTTCTTCTTTGGGTCCATCAGTCATCGCCGAAAATGATACACGCATTCAGTCTTAAAACCACTGGTTTTTACGCCTGGAATATTCGCCCTTAGAAGACTCGACAACGGACGAACTTGTATTGTTCAGGCGAGTAGCGAACTATTTATATCAGGATAAAATTTCTCTTGCTTATATATACTGTAACGCCGTTGTAGTTTCGCCCAGTTGCACTCGACTTGCTGTTAGAAACACCCATGTCCTTAAATATAATCGCCACTTCACAGAAATGAACACCCAATCCGATGATAGACTGTAAACAGATATTGTTCATTTTCTTCGATGACGAAAGCCCGCGATAAATTTCATTCAAATTTGACACCGACGAATATTTATAGGCGGAATAATCCAGAAATTTATTAGAACAGCGAGATAGTTATAAATATTTCAAGAATCACGTTTTCAAATGCATGCAGAAACATAGTGCAACACACAACTACAGTTTTGTCATCCGATCACTTTGTATATCTATCTGATTTGTTTTTAGAATTTTTCGTATCGCAAACGAACATCAATAATTGTTCGTCCTACAAACCCCAAGTTTTGACTATTCGCACACAACAAAGAACAACAAAATATTTGCAAGCCAGATAAGTTGTATTTTTATGCAAATTTCCAATGCTTTGTGTCACACCCTCTGTAGATTTTCTAAGTGCATCGCTTTGCTCTAAATTTCATTAGAGCGGAGCAGGGAAAGATCGAACTATGGCACAACCCGTTTCTTATAAGAAAGCTCCAGACGATGGTGACGTCCTTCTTGAAATGGTTGAGCCCTCATTCCACGCGAAAGGTAGCGAGCCGAAGGGATTATACTTGGAAGACGCCGGACCAAATAAGAAGATTGACTATGCCCTTGTGTACGAACGTGGTGAGGAAAAAGAAAATAAAGACGAGGAGGCTAAGGAAAAAGCTCAGAAACTCGAAGGCATGAGAAAATCATTTGAAGCCAGTCTCGACAGCGCTGGATTGGTCATTGAACGTAAAGAGCACACATTACCTCAGGTAAGACCATCGCTTGCAGTGGCCGTCAAAACATGATTAGCACTGAGATATATTCTTCTAGTTTCTCTAGAAATTGACAACACTGAACGTTTGGAAGCGTTTTGTTCATCTTGCTTCTAAATTCTAAAGCACGCTTTTATTGTAGGGGATGCATTTATGCAAAAGAAATGTTAAATGTAACGACGATCGATTGACTTCTGAAGCGAGTGGCAATATTGTATTTTGAATGAATTCCAGCGGTGAACTAAAGCGAGACTCTTCCATGCCTAAACCGCCGTAACCCATTTCGTCAAACCTTCATCTTTTCGTGTAACTGCACAATTCATCCAAAATTCCTTACATAACATTTCTTAGGGCTGGTAGCAAATTCAGTAAACAGTGTGGAAGGATACAATATTATTTCAGTTTCTTCGTAGAGAGTTCACGAATATTCCGAGCAACGATAACTATATATTTTGCAATATTGTACTCTATAGTTCATGGCCAGAATTTTGCCATGGAACAAGTTTACACAGATTTCTGAAGGTGGGGGAACGCCAGTGATTATTTCGCTCCGCTAATTTAATGAAGCTTGGTTATCTTTCCAACGACGAATAGGTTTGCAAAGAGTTGTCAAACATATTTACCCAATTACAGTTGTGAATAAATTATCAGATTTGAACGAGTTTCATTCTGTCCTTTCGCGGTATTACAGGTAACGGAACATTCAATACAGGCTGCTTACTTTATTTTAGAAAGACGCTATTCGTTTGAATATGGACACATAGTCACTCCCATTGGGATGACAGTCTTTTTATAGAAGTGTCCAGAGAATTGGAAATTACTGGCAGGTCGTAGAAGAAATGCAAATGAGAGTTATTTCTACAAAACTTCTTCAGCACTGAGGTGTAGCATTCACCAGCGCAAGTGCCGAAAACAGAAAGAATTAATTAAAAATATGATACAAGATGGTACAATAATTGAGTGCTATTTCTTAGTTGAAATTTGCTTATGTTGGGTTCAAAGCTCAAGGGAAAGCCGAAAACAACGATCCTTTTAAAAATTAGCATACATCCTTACACAGCCAGATATCAATATCTGATTGTTTACTTTTATTCTCTGAAATTGGAATGAAACATTTACAAACATGTCAAACATCTGTGAGGATAGCGTGCCACCAAATCTGGCACAACAAATTACAAAGCATAGTAGTTTCGTTATTTGAGTGTCATAGTAACACGTTATTTTACACTAAGCACTCTCGAATTGTTTACTAATTTACTGCTTATGATAAAGAGGTCTTAATTTTGGCCAAACAGCCATTATTCTTTCCAAGGAGGTGTTGACTATAGCAGTTTCAGGCTTGGAGGTAGTAACATAAATACTCCCTTGATTAAAAGAACTATCAACAATTACGAAACATACAGTGTAAGATCGATTAACAAAAAAACAGCGTCTACTCAGACATTACGGATACAAATACGTGCGTTTTAATATTGGCCTCTTGAATAGTTATCAGAAATATTAAAATTTCTTTTTAGAAATAATAATAATAAATGTCGTAACATGCATGTTTCCATGGTAAACTTTCGAAATAGACAGAGTGGGTGGTGCTATGGTTTCAAAATATTTTACAAATGTACTTCTAGAAACAGATGGCCAGAAGTTGCATGTGCTTACCGTATATTGCATGAACATTCCAGTGTCACTCGAACTGTTGTAGACCACAGCCTCAACTACTGCTACTTACGCTTTTGATCATTGTCGACTAATTTAATGAACTGTTTGTCATCGCTTTGTAAACTTGAAAGTAAATTTACCTGAGTGTTGTTCTTGTAACGGAAAGACGTGTATTTGTTTCAAATACAGCACTATTTGTTCGAGGCGCTGTTTCAAATACAATACAAATACGAACCTCCAAGGGAAACGAAAATTGGTTCGAAAAATCGTTGAGTTCGAGAAATCGGGGGTAAAATTACAGTGTTCGACTGAGGAGGGGGAATGACTTCTGGTTCGAGTTATCGGGAGGTTCGAGAAATCGGGATTCCACTGTACTTACTCACAATTCAATATCAACACAACAGTAAGGCAAAAGAAAATTAAATAAAGGGGAACTAAGAAAACAATACCATGACTACGAACTGAGGATGATATATAGGCAGCCATACCTTGGGGGAACAAACAGGAACAATGAAATAATAAAACACAAAACAAAAGGGCAAGTCTTTCGCTCATTTTCTCTGTCGCTCGTTCTCTTGCATTTTGTTGGTTCGATCGCTCCTTCATTTCATAGTTCGTATATTCGTTCGTTTTCGGGCGTTCATTAAGTTCATCGGCGACTAGGTGGCGATGGTAGACTCGATTACATTCAAAGACCTAAATCGTTGCTGTCCCGTACTGGTGCAGAGTGTAGCTCAGATACCAGTATCTGGTACCAGCGTCTGGCCAACAGTTTTATTTCTTCTTTGGGTCCATCAGTCATCGCCGAAAATGATACACGCATTCAGTCTTAAAACCACTGGTTTTTACGCCTGGAATATTCGCCCTTAGAAGACTCGACAACGGACGAACTTGTATTGTTCAGGCGAGTAGCGAACTATTTATATCAGGATAAAATTTCTCTTGCTTATATATACTGTAACGCCGTTGTAGTTTCGCCCAGTTGCACTCGACTTGCTGTTAGAAACACCCATGTCCTTAAATATAATCGCCACTTCACAGAAATGAACACCCAATCCGATGATAGACTGTAAACAGATATTGTTCATTTTCTTCGATGACGAAAGCCCGCGATAAATTTCATTCAAATTTGACACCGACGAATATTTATAGGCGGAATAATCCAGAAATTTATTAGAACAGCGAGATAGTTATAAATATTTCAAGAATCACGTTTTCAAATGCATGCAGAAACATAGTGCAACACACAACTACAGTTTTGTCATCCGATCACTTTGTATATCTATCTGATTTGTTTTTAGAATTTTTCGTATCGCAAACGAACATCAATAATTGTTCGTCCTACAAACCCCAAGTTTTGACTATTCGCACACAACAAAGAACAACAAAATATTTGCAAGCCAGATAAGTTGTATTTTTATGCAAATTTCCAATGCTTTGTGTCACACCCTCTGTAGATTTTCTAAGTGCATCGCTTTGCTCTAAATTTCATTAGAGCGGAGCAGGGAAAGATCGAACTATGGCACAACCCGTTTCTTATAAGAAAGCTCCAGACGATGGTGACGTCCTTCTTGAAATGGTTGAGCCCTCATTCCACGCGAAAGGTAGCGAGCCGAAGGGATTATACTTGGAAGACGCCGGACCAAATAAGAAGATTGACTATGCCCTTGTGTACGAACGTGGTGAGGAAAAAGAAAATAAAGACGAGGAGGCTAAGGAAAAAGCTCAGAAACTCGAAGGCATGAGAAAATCATTTGAAGCCAGTCTCGACAGCGCTGGATTGGTCATTGAACGTAAAGAGCACACATTACCTCAGGTAAGACCATCGCTTGCAGTGGCCGTCAAAACATGATTAGCACTGAGATATATTCTTCTAGTTTCTCTAGAAATTGACAACACTGAACGTTTGGAAGCGTTTTGTTCATCTTGCTTCTAAATTCTAAAGCACGCTTTTATTGTAGGGGATGCATTTATGCAAAAGAAATGTTAAATGTAACGACGATCGATTGACTTCTGAAGCGAGTGGCAATATTGTATTTTGAATGAATTCCAGCGGTGAACTAAAGCGAGACTCTTCCATGCCTAAACCGCCGTAACCCATTTCGTCAAACCTTCATCTTTTCGTGTAACTGCACAATTCATCCAAAATTCCTTACATAACATTTCTTAGGGCTGGTAGCAAATTCAGTAAACAGTGTGGAAGGATACAATATTATTTCAGTTTCTTCGTAGAGAGTTCACGAATATTCCGAGCAACGATAACTATATATTTTGCAATATTGTACTCTATAGTTCATGGCCAGAATTTTGCCATGGAACAAGTTTACACAGATTTCTGAAGGTGGGGGAACGCCAGTGATTATTTCGCTCCGCTAATTTAATGAAGCTTGGTTATCTTTCCAACGACGAATAGGTTTGCAAAGAGTTGTCAAACATATTTACCCAATTACAGTTGTGAATAAATTATCAGATTTGAACGAGTTTCATTCTGTCCTTTCGCGGTATTACAGGTAACGGAACATTCAATACAGGCTGCTTACTTTATTTTAGAAAGACGCTATTCGTTTGAATATGGACACATAGTCACTCCCATTGGGATGACAGTCTTTTTATAGAAGTGTCCAGAGAATTGGAAATTACTGGCAGGTCGTAGAAGAAATGCAAATGAGAGTTATTTCTACAAAACTTCTTCAGCACTGAGGTGTAGCATTCACCAGCGCAAGTGCCGAAAACAGAAAGAATTAATTAAAAATATGATACAAGATGGTACAATAATTGAGTGCTATTTCTTAGTTGAAATTTGCTTATGTTGGGTTCAAAGCTCAAGGGAAAGCCGAAAACAACGATCCTTTTAAAAATTAGCATACATCCTTACACAGCCAGATATCAATATCTGATTGTTTACTTTTATTCTCTGAAATTGGAATGAAACATTTACAAACATGTCAAACATCTGTGAGGATAGCGTGCCACCAAATCTGGCACAACAAATTACAAAGCATAGTAGTTTCGTTATTTGAGTGTCATAGTAACACGTTATTTTACACTAAGCACTCTCGAATTGTTTACTAATTTACTGCTTATGATAAAGAGGTCTTAATTTTGGCCAAACAGCCATTATTCTTTCCAAGGAGGTGTTGACTATAGCAGTTTCAGGCTTGGAGGTAGTAACATAAATACTCCCTTGATTAAAAGAACTATCAACAATTACGAAACATACAGTGTAAGATCGATTAACAAAAAAACAGCGTCTACTCAGACATTACGGATACAAATACGTGCGTTTTAATATTGGCCTCTTGAATAGTTATCAGAAATATTAAAATTTCTTTTTAGAAATAATAATAATAAATGTCGTAACATGCATGTTTCCATGGTAAACTTTCGAAATAGACAGAGTGGGTGGTGCTATGGTTTCAAAATATTTTACAAATGTACTTCTAGAAACAGATGGCCAGAAGTTGCATGTGCTTACCGTATATTGCATGAACATTCCAGTGTCACTCGAACTGTTGTAGACCACAGCCTCAACTACTGCTACTTACGCTTTTGATCATTGTCGACTAATTTAATGAACTGTTTGTCATCGCTTTGTAAACTTGAAAGTAAATTTACCTGAGTGTTGTTCTTGTAACGGAAAGACGTGTATTTGTTTCAAATACAGCACTATTTGTTCGAGGCGCTGTTTCAAATACAATACAAATACGAACCTCCAAGGGAAACGAAAATTGGTTCGAAAAATCGTTGAGTTCGAGAAATCGGGGGTAAAATTACAGTGTTCGACTGAGGAGGGGGAATGACTTCTGGTTCGAGTTATCGGGAGGTTCGAGAAATCGGGATTCCACTGTACTTACTCACTATTGTAACAACTAATTCTGGGTCCAGCTCCTTAGTCACTAGGCTAAGCTCGGGTAATGACCGAAATTTGTAGCCTTCCGCGTCATTTGGAATTCAGAACAAGTCTGCATAATCTTTGCTGTATTTATATGGTCATTAAAAGTTTGCCCAGTTGACAGGGCATAATATCGAGAAGTAAGGCCGGAAAACCATCATGCTTTATCTAAACCGCCTTCAGTTGAAGAAAAATATGGTTTTTATTCAAGGCTCAGCATCTGTATGGAATTTGTTAGAAACAGAGAGAGAAAATGGTCCACCAAATTCATCACGATTCAGACTAAATAGAGGTTCAATATCTATTCATTGTAAGCTCGAGTGTATATATTGAATTTTAACACTGATTTTAAGCAATAGCTTTGAAGACAAGCTTTAAAGGACAAGGGCTACTCTGATTAGAAAATACAGCTTCAATATCACCACCTGAGATGAAAAAATTAGATTATAAATCACACACTGGAAGTATACCGACTTCAATCGGCAACGACGAATCAGTGTTTTATTCTAATGAAAAAAAAAACAAATAAACAAACAAAAAACAAATCTTCACCACGGCGGATAAGAAGGATTTAATTAATTTACACCATAACCCGAAATTGCAAAGAAAAGAGGGCTCGGTACGACTTTCACCAACATTCTAGTTGTTCATTCATTAGGTGTCAAATTCACGCGGTTTCAATCGGCTGACCTCAAAGTAGCAGTTACAGCAGCTTAGAAAAGGATCAAAGTTGAATTAAACAGTCAATCCTCGTGGTTATGTGTATTCTCGATCACCAAGTGTAAAAAAAAAAAAAAAAATGAATCAGGTAAACAGAAATAAAAAATACCAAAAGTACAAAGTCTGCAAAAACACTAGAAAGTTCGTTGATCAATGATTAACGCTCGAGCGAACGAAGCAATCACTTGGTTAGTTTTTTATATGATTAATGATGCGAATTGTTTTTAAAGGCCAAAGTACCCGTGACTGTTTGTATATACAGAATAAAAGGCATTGAGCCGAAACCAAACTGAGAGTTATGCAAATTCTGCACGCCCATTCAGTATTTTGCCGAAACAGCCCAAGTGTCTGGCAAGTGCCGCTAGTTTGAAGGGCCTACTGAAATACGAGGAGGCCAAAATGAGTAATGGCTACGCCCGCTATACCAGGTTAAGCCAAGATGAAGACGAGCTCGAGCTTCAGCTGGAGTTAAGGGAGCAAGCAACATTGACAACAAGATCAGAGCCGAAAGGAGTTTATTTTAGCAACGGTAATGAACCAAAGAGACGCATCGACTATGTGTTGGTCTATGAAAGAAAACAGAATGATGATTCGGATAGCAGCAAAAAAAGAAGCCTGCAAAGTCTACGGAAAACGTTTGAAGATAACTTGAGGAAGGAAAAGCTTCTAATCGAATACGATGAGCTGTCTTTGCCACAGGTACGAGTTCGATGCAATGCTTGACCAGTTTAGTTGAGGCATTTAAAGAAATTTTCACTCTCTCTAAATTGAATATCGTACAAGATGCGATCCAATCGAATATTTTCTGAGGAACTTTTTGGCATAAATAGCTGCAATTTCAATTTTTAAAACTAATCTTTTGTGTATAAATATAATTTAGAATGGATTTCAAGCCATCCAGGCTCAAATTCCACCGTCTTTATCAGCATTCAAGCGTATAAATTCACAAATCAGTGAATACATCACTGAATAGACCTCAATGATGCCACCCATATTTGCTTCTTACCAAGTAATGCTACTTTTGTTTATCCAAGTTCCCTTTTAATAAAACACTGGCTGGGGAACATTCAGTTAAAATACCGACAATTCGATATATTCCGATTTTAAATTAAAGTTTTTACGTTCAGAATTAATACTTGTTTGAATTAATAGTATCAAACAGTGCTGTTATATAGGGATCAAAGACTCTTGGTATTCGCATCAAGACTGGCTACGTGGAAAACAAAATGCCATTAGATTAAGGAAAAGGCTGAGTTTTATCTTTTAGAATTTCATATTGGAAATACAGTATGCATAAAATGATACGCTGTGACGTTTCGGCGAGCAATACAGTCGAGTTGCAAACTTATAAAATTACATAAGCAGGAATATGTCCAACTCCGATATGATTAAACTAAAGCTGAAGTCGTTGATCGGCTTAAGTCGGCAATGACGATCAATCTACCAACATGCATGTAGGATGTCATTTCTGCCGCGTTTTATCGCCTACATAATATTAGAAGGATTAAGAAGTATTTATCTCGCGATTCGTTATTAACGCTTATTCATGCTTTTATCACTAGCCGTTTAGACTATTGTAATGGACTTTTGTATGGCTTTCCTAAGTCGCAATTAGTTAAACTGCAACGTGTGCAGAATGTTGCGGTTAGACTTGTGCTGAACTTAAGAAAGTACTCGCATATTACTCCCGCGCTTTTCGAACATCATTGGTTACCGGTACAACATCGTGATCATTTTAAGATCTTAATTTTAACATTTAAAGCTAGTCTTGGATTGGCGCCCAAGTATATCATAGAATTAATTAACATTATGCCTAGATCTATTTATAATCTTAGACCAAATCAAAGTTTATTGTTAGACCCTCGTAAAGGGAAAATACTTGTGACTTTAGGTGACAGATCTTTCTCTGCTGCTGCTCCATATTATTTTATGGAATAGTTTGCCGGCTGAATCACGTGATATTCAGTCATTAGCTATTTTTAAATGTAAGCTGAAAACTTATTTATTTCGTGTAGATTTTAAAGCGTATCCTGCTTGATATTCAGTCTTATTAGTGCTACTAATTAAGTTTGTTGTTATTATTATAAATATTCTATTTTATTAATATACATGTAATTAGTTTAACAAATTTGAATTTTATTGTAGTATTTTAATTTTTAAAGCGCCGTTGATCAGTGAATGTAAATAGCGCTCTAGAAGTTGTTAAATTATTATTATTATTATTATTATTATTATTATTATTATTATCATTATTATAATGCTTTGCAAAATCTTCATTACAAATGGCATTCGTGCAAAGGATGCATAAGCCGAGCCTCTTCATGGCAAAAGTTTTATTCCTCTTTTTCTGCCCTCAGGATCCCAAAACCAAACGACATTTTGTCCTTATTCATGCCCCATGGGAAGTGCTGGCCAAAAAAGCGGAAGCAATGCGTGTAAAAGCCCCATTCCAAGAAAATGACATCTTGATTAAGTCTTGGATGGAGGAGAGACTCGGAAGTGATAGAATGGAGTCATTAAGGAAGAGAAATCCTCTAATTGTACATGATTCCACCATTGAAGACAAAGGAAACTTTTTCATGGCTAACTTCAGACGAGAAAATGTAACCAAGTTCGTCAACCATCAAAACAAGGAGACGTTTTTTGATAACGTCGACCGCGTCTACATCGTGCAGCAAATTTGTGGCGGCGCCCGCTTTGCGGAGGGCCCTCACGGTGTTGGGCTGAAAAAGTTGATCTACGAAGGTGCATACATAGCAGGATACCCACTTCACGATGGTCCCGTTCGTCTTGAGCCTGGCGAAGAGCCCTCGAATGACCGACAACGGCTCAAGCGTGACTGGGCCAGATTTGGAAGAATGGCCAAATTCCAGCCATACGGAGCAATCAAGGATTACTTTGGCAGTGAGATTGCCTTGTACTTTGCCTGGCTTGGATTTTACACGGCGTGGTTGGTACCTCTTGCTATTATCGGTCTTGCTGTGTTCCTGTATGGAATCGGTTCGGCTGGTAGTCACGCCCCAGTCAAAGATGTCTGCGACGACAAAAACAAGGATGTGTGGTATATGTGTCCACTGTGTGACAGACAGTGTAGCTACTGGGACCTAGCTTCCACCACGTGCATTTACGCTTACGTCACCCACTTCTTCGACAACGATTGGACAGTTGGTCTTGCTTTAATTGCGTCAATTTGGGCGACTTTGTACCTTGAGTTTTGGAAACGTCGTCAAGCCTCCCTTGCTCAGGAATGGCACACTGATGATTTCGAAGAGGAAGAAGAGCCCCTTCGCCCAGAGTACTCAGCTACAGTGACGACCCTAAAGAAGAATGAAGTTACCGGTAAGATGGAACCGTACGTCCCCAAAAAAACACTGTACTCTCGCTACGGTGGAGTCTTTAGCATCATAATCTTTTTTATCTTGCTTGTCATCGCCGCTGTCGTGGGTGTTGTCGTGTACCGAGCAGCAGTTTTCGCCTCCTTGAGCGGGAACGAAGACGAAACAGTCCAAACACGTGCTAGGATCATCACCTCCTTAACAGCAGCTCTACTCAATCTTCTTGCCATCAACCTGCTAAAGTTCGTCTACAGCAAACTGGCCGTCTGGTTGACGGACTGGGAAAATCCACCGACTCGCACCGACTACGAGGACAGCTTCACTTGGAAAATGTACCTGTTCCAGTTTGTAAATACGTACGCGTCCATTTTCTACATTGCTTTCTTCAAGTCTGGGCTCGTGGTAGGAACTCCAAGCAGATACAAGCGGATTGCGGGTGAATTCCGATTGGATGGCTGCAGCGAGCAAGGGTGCTTTTTGGAGCTTTGCGTTCAGCTTCTTATTATCATGGTGGGACAGCAGATCATCGGAAATATTACGGAAGTTGCAATCCCGTAAGTAACATTAAGGGTTACAAAATGAGGTTCTAATTTACTAAAACTTTAAGAAACTAAAAATCTCACACGTTCAACTCGAAGAGAGGATTCAATTACGGGTGGTTTGATATTCAGAACAGGTAAAACATACTAAAGCATTTGTTAAAATTGCATTTAACGATTGATCATTCTTGTAGAAAGAACGTTTAAAAGTGTGTGAAAGAATTCGGACCCCGCCGAAACCTACAATTTATCATTATTGCATGCTTTGAGTCGTTGAGACACAAACTTAAAGAAAGAACGGGTAAAATGAGACAGAAAAGAAATGGAACTTCAATTTTAACCAAAAGGTAGCAATGACACTGGATGTTCTCAGCCATCAAACGATTCTCCGCAACTTACTTGTGCTATTTACTCTGCAGGATGGTCATGTATTGGCTCAAAAGTCGCAAGGAAGAAACGACAGACCAGCCACAATACCAACGAGACTTCGACTTGAGTCCCCAGGGTGACCATTCCATGTTTTGGGAGTATCTTGAAGTTGGTAGGTATTAGCTTAGGTGTAGTTCAGTACCTGAACTCTCCCTTCCCTATTCTATACAGTGGTTGAATCCAAGCGGGAGAAGAGGGAGCCCAGGATAGCTTGTATGCACATGTTCAAAACGCCACTATTCACCCCTCCCTAGGAAACGAGGGGAAAAAGCACAAGATAGTAGAACTTTCTAAAGCGCGTGCCTAGAGACAATGTATGAAATACAACAAAAAACACAAGAAAACCCATCATGAAGATTACAATTGTTTTTATCTGCTTAAAACTGTCAGCCTAAACAGTAATCATAACAGTATAAATCGAGAGTAGAGATGTTTTGTGTACGTTACGTTTCTGTCCTTTCCTCAGTATTGTAATCATCTTCTTTGTTTTGCAGTTTTGCAGTACGGATTTGTGACTATGTTCGTGGCTGCCTTTCCATTGGGTCCGCTTTTCGCTCTTCTCAATTCCATCGTCGAAATTCGTGTAGATGCCATCAACTTTGTGGACCAGTTTCGGAGACCCGATAGCGCACGTGCAGAAGATATCGGAGCCTGGTTTCGTATTCTTCAGGGTGTGACAAAACTGTCAGTTCTGGTGAATGCTTTTGTGTTAGCGTTCACCTCAGAGTACATCCCTAAGCTACTGTACAAGATGAAGTATGCACCTGACCGTGATGAACCAGGTGGAGGCACCCTTAAAGGATATCTAAATAACAGTTTGGCTCATATTGATATTGCGTACATCTACCAACAAGAACCTGGAACACAGCCAGAAAATCCCTGGGAAAATTTAAATTACACGAGGCCATACTGCAGGTAAGAACTGTCTCCTGGTTGTTTTATCTCGGACTAAACAATGTTCTCGTAATTTAGTAATTTAGTTGTGAGGTACGTTTCTTCACATCGAGATAAAATTGAGTAATGACGAGATTTCTCTGGTAACTGGACAAAGTTCTTAAGTGATAGGCATAAATTTCGGATAAAAGAATTTGGAACACTTACACGATGTATTTCAACAATAACAACGTAAAATTCATCAAGAACGCAGAGTTATAGAAAATTATCCTCCCCCACGAATTCTGTTGCATTCAAAATACCATGGAACGGGATACATTTTTGGACGCTGAGCTACATGAAAACTGAAAAGGATGTGAACTACAATACACTGCCTGTTGCCTCAAACAAGGCAGGGCACAATAAGTCACCAGAGCCTATTTAGTATGTACACCGATTATTCTCGTTGTAAAAACGAAATTTTGTCCTCTGTATTGCAGGTACCCGGGCTATTTTGACATGAATCCACCTTACAAACAGAACAAGCAGTACTGGCACATCATTGCTGCACGCCTCGCTTTCGTGTTCGTATTTCAGTTTTCTGTTTACCTGATCACCAGCTTCATATCTTGGGCTGTCCCAGATGTTCCTAAGGATCTGGATTTAAAGGTGAAGCGGGAAACACATTTGGCCAAATTGGCCTTCAAGAAGAAGAATGATGATTACCCAGAAAAAGGCGAGGATGTCCTCAATGGAAGCGAGATGCTGTAGAGCGACAAAAAGAATTGAAAGAAAACACTGCGATGACAATGCCCATATATTAACGTTACAGGAAGACATTTTAAATAAGGTAGTTTAGGATCAAAACACCGGCATTGAGTTCGCAAGTGCAGCGTACGAAAGATCAGTAACATTGTTCTAATAGAGAACGTTAATTTTTTGACAGATGGAACTCATCATTTCAGTAGAGTAAAAAACTAACAATAACTTACAACTGTAATGAAGCAAATCCAGAAAACGCAAACTTGGGCGTCATTTGTTTTTTTGATGTGGCTCTTCATCATTGTATATGATGTCACTGGGCCATATTTGTATACCACTGTTATGTAATTTCTTTTTGGAAATTGGCTTCTATTTTTGTACAAATATTTTCCAGCATTTATGTTCATTACGCTGGTTAAATGATTACCGTGTTGTATAAGTTAAAAAGCAACTGAAAAAAAAAAAAAAAAATTCAATACAGAAACATTTGATGAGGATGTTTTCTGTTTCAGTATTTTACGAATGAAACGTGTAGGAGGACTAGATTATTTTGTTTCGTTTCTTATACCATTCAGCATCGAACAATCCACGCAGAGTTTGGTATCTGTTAGTAAGCGTTAAATCAATTTTTGCTGTATATTTTTCTAGTAATCATCAATACAAATGATCAAGATTGATCACTCCTAGGTTGTCACCCCAAGTGGCATGTGTATACTTTTGGAATGAAACACAGAGCACCACACTTCAAATGAAAGCTATGGAGCAATACTTTTCATGTGACAGTGTAATAGACCATATCACAGTTTTCGACCCCATCGTGACGGGTAGCCAAAGCGGTCAGGAACTAGCACGTTTGTATGGGAATCCGATGGCAAATAACTTTTTCCAAAATTGAATTTTACTCTAAACTTGGTGAATACAATATTCTACCTAGTATTTTAACGTTGCAATTCACAAAGTGTAAAATTCAATTTTGGAAAAAGTTATTTTCCATTGGATTCCCATCCAAACACTGTAATTTCTGACCGCTCTACCCACCCGTCAAAATGGCGTCGAAAACCGTGATAAGGTCTAAAGGACGGACCACCGAAAAATTGGAAGGAATTGCACTTTCCCTGTGGTAGTGGTACTCGAGGCGCCATAAACAGCGTTTCAAGCAGCAGTTTATCTTTCGCAATTTAAGTTCCAGATAAGTATTATTCATGCAGTTCCAATCTTAACGCTCTCACTAGTCAGGGGTTCATTGTGTGGAATTTTAACAATTTTAAAAAATAAGTTTTGTATGAGACACAAGTGAGGTTGTAAATGACGTTTACAGCAAACGGCAANTTTAACGTTGCAATTCACAAATTGTGTAAAATTCAATTTTGGAAAAAGTTATTTTCCATCGGATTCCCATCCAAACACTGTAATTTCTGACCGCTTTACCCACCCGTCAAGATGGCGTCGAAAACCGTGATAGGGTCTTAAGGACGGACCACCGAAACATTGGAAGGAATTGCTCTTTCCTTGTCTGTAACACAAATGGTACTCGAGGCGCCATAAACAGCTTTTCAAGCAGCAGTTTATCTTTCGCAAATTGAAATTCGAGATAAGTATTATTCATTTCCAATCTTAACGCTCTCACTAGTCAGGGGTTCATTGTGTGGAATTTTAACAATTTTAAAAAATAAGTTTTGTATGAGACACAAGTGAGGTTGTGAATGACGTTTATATACAGCAAACGGCAAACTGCAAAAGGCAAACGGCGAAAGTTTCAAATCTTTTGACTTCAAACTTTTGTCTTCTGTTTCCTGTTTTTGTTGTTTTATTGATTTAGAATAGAAGGAGTCTGAAAAGGAAGACAAAATCTGAGACAATTTTTGTCGTCTACGTTTTCCGTGCGTTGAACGTGTTAAATTCTCCATTAATTGTGGGCATTGTAACGTGAGCTTCGTGTGCTAACTA